AATCCGCTACAGTTCTTTATAGTAGCAGAAAGGCGAGGGGTGGGGAACAGAAGAGCGATTCACAGATGTAAAAGGGGCAGGCAGACACAAAGGTAGAAAAAAAGGGTAAGGTGAGTACTGTGGTTGGGGTCGAATATGACAACCAGTGGGGTCGTGGTAGTTTGAAGTCAGAAGTCAAATGCCTGTTAATAGACTTTTTTGCCGTATGAGTATACGCTGCCTATGGTGCACCACGTGAACGTAAGTCTATCGCACACCCCTTCCTTAAAATACAAATTCTGCTTAAGTGAAGTGAGTTCCTCTCAAATGGATATTCACAACGGCTGGTTTTCATGCAGTTAGGCACGTATTTTTGCCCATCTCGGTGCCAAATTTTTCCATTCAAAAATTGCAGATTAATTGACAAAGATACGTTTGTGTCACTCACTTGAAACGTTGACGTAGCTCAATTCGAATGCCTTTCTTCCCCCCCCCCCTAAACGTACTCATGATTGAGTTAAGAGATCTGCTTCCCCCATCTCAACATCATATTTTGAGGATTAGGATCGCTTTGACCAAAGAAGTGTATTAATGGACATACATGATTGGAGGCGAGAAGAGTGGTTTGAAATTGTGCCATTTTAAGAGTGCCTTAAGCAATTAAATTCAATGTAGACATATAACGAATCGAATTGATACCTACTCCTAGGAATGACCTTAAACTTTAATTGTTACTCATCTTTACCCTGATGACAAGTTATGAAACTGGAGCGCAACGTCTCAGTCTCCTCTTGTGTAACACCGCCTGTATCAATAGCAAGTAGTTTTTTAGCTAAAAAAAATTGTGAATATCGAGGCATTTCACATCAGAAAGTAACTAGTTTAAACCGTCTCGAGAATACGTAAATTTCCTTTCTCTCACATACAGCTTTGCTATTTCCATTGGATTCTCACTATCTTAGGATAAGTATGCATGACAACATAAGAATAAGAAATCAATTATTGTTTTCCCCGGTAATCCCAGATTAAGTTATGTATTTTCTTTTCTCTTCATCATTAACCCAGCTCGACACTTGAGGATAGATAAAATATGGTCTAATTGTTAATTTTCTTCATTTACATGATAAAGTAGACATACGGTGATTGAAAGGCGGTTATGTCCTGAACAACTTTCAAATAATGATTAGGAGCTTCTATTAAAGAGACTAATCGAAATTCCATCGTGTCGACTATGAAACGGGCTTATTAATTCTAATAATTTCAAAAGCAAAGTTATTTATTTTAGCTGAGATTCATCACAATAAAATAGCCATTCCATCTCCCGCAAATCCTGCCAATTTCGCTTCAGATTAGTGACAAGAAGTTTTCATGCATTTCCACACGATATTTCCTATGATTAAAGACGGCGAAAAACCATTTTATATTTAAAGTCTCGTTTGAGCTAATTTTGAAGATACCAATGAAACTAGTTCTTAAATGAAATAAATAACCTGTCTCAATATTTTTTTTGCGCATGTTAAATAACTTTTCTCAAAAGCAGTCATTTAGCCATGTTATAGAGGGAAAGGTTGGTGAATTGTTCGTCCATCATTTATAAATTTAGAATATTTGTCATCTAAATTATTTGAAAGCAATTTTCTAACTTTATGAAAGTTGGTAAAAAATAGTAAAATTAAGTCCCCTACTTTCATATCAATTCTCATCAACTGTCTTGGCATATTTTTGTGACATATAGATCAGAATGAGAGAAGTCTGTGAATTTGGACCGAAAGTGGAATGCGTTTGTCTCAGCATCAAGAAGTAGAATTAAAGATGGATATTCACGAACATCCACCATATTTATTCGGTATTTTTATGTAAATTTTAATAAAGTCACAAATATTTTACGGCATGACGTAAAATTCATGCTAATCTAATAGGAAGAATTTTTAAACTTTATTTTGCTGATCAAATTAAAATTTAAGTTGTTGCTCTACTGCTTCTTTAACTCAAGCCAAATCAAATTCACCTTTACTTCCTCAGATGAAATCAATATGATCACATCATTGAAAATAGTGATCGGCATGCAAGCGTTTTAACAGTGAACCACGCCTAGAATCGCTTCTGATTTTACCTTTATGTGGAATCGCATAATTTAAATTGATACTACTATATATTTGCAATGTGTACAAGGAATTGTGTGAGTATGGTTGTGGAGAGCACGATGTTAGCATGGCTGAAGCAAAGACAGGCAGGCGGAAGTGATGGCAATTACACCAGCGACCAAATGAGATGCACAACGCAGAGACCTTTCGACCAATCAATAATCAAAGTCATTACGTTGTAAGTTCACTGGAAAGTGTATAAAACAACTAAGGGTTCCGAAAATCATTTGCACTTCAAACACTTAACCGAACACACAACTCAAGATATGTTGGATATACACCTCTAGCACAATATCACCCGAATAAATGTATTCCTCGTCATAAGTCTATTTCCTCAATATACTATTGAAGTAGGGAGGCTAATCCCGAGAGACATTCTTAACTAGAAGAACTTTCAATGAATAGAACTGAGAATAAATCAAATATTAAAAGCATAGCAGTCAGCAATGAGAAATAATTCGTAAGCGACCATGTTTTTCTTAAAATCACATGTATTTTTAACATCATATAAAAATGGCAAAAATTCAAACAAACCTCAAACGCTATGGATTGCATATTCTTTTGGTGTATTCAACAGCCAAACCAAGGTAAGGCTGCAAAACCGGAAAATTATACGCTCTTATTTGGTGTCTATACACGCCAAATGAGTACTGATAAAATTGTAAACGTGATCCTCTATACTCTATTTGTGTGCATGTGATAGAATTCATGTCCTTTGGATTCAGTGTTATGTGAAGGCTCTTTCAAAAATCATCTCTAGATTTATGTCATTTGAATTTCAATCATTAAGGTGATGCTTCTCTTAAAACGTTAAATTCCGTTTCAAATACTACTTGAACGAGTAAGTAATATTGATGCTCAAGTGAGATGCATTTCAATGCATTATTAGTCAGCGAAAAAATGAATTCCAGGTTCTTACTACGATGATATTTTCGTGAAACGTCTTCTCTATTTTTTCCACATTAGCGTGAATGCTTAAAAGAATGGTTAAAAATAATATTTGTAACTTAAAAATATTTCGTAAAAGGAAAAAAAGTTAGGGCGAGTATTTTGGTTAATTCAAGTTACCCCCAATGGAATTTGCATTCACACGCATCTTCGATGTATAATGTTTAAACTTAGAAAGTGAAGATATATTCCTTTCTTGTTTGCCCAAAAAATGATTACAATAAATTCCAAACCCAAATAACGATTCTCTACAAGTGGTGGTAAATTCAGAAAAAATAAGCAAATATTTTGATTAAGTCAAGCTACCCCCATAAAATTTGCATTTACATGCATCTTTGAGGAAATTGTTTTAAAATTTTAAATTGAAGACGTATTTAGGCGTTTATCTTGTCATAAGACATATCACTTTGGATCTATCACCTCAATATTAAAAATGCTTCTTTATTCTTGGAACATTTTGTTTGTTTTAACTATTAAAATTATTGTTTATTATAAGCGTAAAACCCATGTGGACACTTGATCATCTCTGATATATCCCTATCCAGTGTATATCACATCGTCATACATTTCAATTAATTCACAACCAATCACCGTTATTTGATCTTTTTCGTTAAATCCATTTATACATCATATTTCGGCATTGAGATCGCTGTGACCAAAGAAGGTTATTAACGCGCACACATGATTGGAGGCGAGAGGAGTGGTTTGAAATTATGGCATTTCAAGAGTGTCTTTAGTGGAGTGAATCAGAAAGTGGTGGAGTAGTGAGACACCACACGTGCTAGTTGGTTGGATTTGAAATGAGGGATGCCATGTATGTCACAACATTTTGATTGAATTCTTTGTATGATAGACGATTTCATGTGAAATTGGCAGCCAATGGAAAAGCCACCTGCAGTGAGTGTTCCGGTGTAGGTGCAAGTTGAGCACGTACTGGAATGTAGTGTGGGTGTGGTCGTGGGGTGTTTGGAGCTAACGCTATTGATGAGCGATGAGTGCATGCACACAGATTGGAATGCCAAATTGAGCATGTGCTGAGTGGTACAAGTGGATAAATAAGTATTGCATCGGTTTGACCTTAGTTTGTGTAACAACATCACTTCAACATTGATATGGAGATTCATATTTGCATTTTGAGCATACGCACATGTGAGCGGTGAGTTAATTTTAACTTGCCTACAACAGATAAGGTGTATTGGAAGGGAAATACAAACCATGACTCGCATTCACCTGGCGTGCACTTCCAAGTCTCAGCTAATAATTCCCCCGATTGCTGCTGCTGACAAAGACGTTAATGATGAAAATAGGAGTATTAAAATTAATAGCAATAACAGTAATTAAAAGTAACGAGAATAGTGTTGGCGGGAAAGATGGAAATATATTGGTGAATTTGTGTGATTGAAGTATTAGAATTGCAACTGAGTTGATGATGAGTGGAGTGTGTTGGAGAGGGGAGTAGTGGGATGGAGAGGGGAAGAGGCAATGCAAATATCGCATTTGTTTGAATCAGAAGTAATAAGTGTGTCTAATTTTACTCATTGTTAATGACATCAAGCCATCATTTCGGGCATTTTATTTGAGTTTATGTTATAAGTTAATTGGTTTAATTGGTGGCGTAGGAATTTGTGATATGATATGGTAAATTGTTTGGTTGGTGGTGTAGAAGGACAGGTCTTGTCACATGCAGGATTTGTCGCCATTTCGTGATATCAGAATTTGAACACAATAAAACAGTCGAATATGGTTACGCAGTAATTAAAATATTTTGGATAATATTGCTCAAATTAGTTGGTTGGAGTATTGAGCGATGAATCATTTGTTCTTAGGCTTCTTCGTTATCCTGTGTCGAATACTGCCAAAGGTGTACATTCGCATAGAATTTCCTCACGATTTGGCCATGGTATAACCTTCAAGTTATCAATTAACGACTTAAAAGGAACAATTTACCTGGCACCCATTTGTCTGCCAGTAGTCATTCCTTGAATGCAAATAGACACACGAAGGTCGACTCACAGAAACATGAGCCGTCGTATTAATCTGATTGGTGAAGCGATAGGGAATCGGTGGTGGATTCACTGTATTATAGAGATCCTTCTCCTCAACAGTTAACTCTCTGTAACCAATATAAAGTCGATTGATTTCTGATGCCTTGATTCGCATATACTTAGTCCGTCTGAAGGCATCTGATTTCAGTTTCGTTAATTCACTAGATTGCATATATAAAGCGTAATCCAGGAGCGCCTCTTCTTCACTCTTACTAGAATCTGAAAGTTAGTTCATGGAATTAACACAAAGGATTTAGAGATCCAGTTAGTGAATTGATGACTATCTCAACTCACTGCATTTCGAGATCGAAGTAGGAAGCATAGTCCAGAAGAACTGCCCAAAGGGATCCAACTGGCGCAGATTAGGTGGAATGACGAATCTTGCTATGACCAAGTACTGCGGACATGAAGAAATCGTATTTGGTTCTAGTTGAAATACAAAACCGGTATTGTCGCTATCATCCACCTCAAACGCGTGCATTATTAACGATTGATATATCAGTGAACCATCAATAGCGACTAGTGGATCAGGCAAGTAGAGCTGTTCCTCATCGTTGACGGAGCTGTTACTTACATTAGGTTTCTTGAAAAGGTGTTATAATATTATTGACCAGTTACCTTCTTAAACTTAATTCGAAATTTTGATGCATCATCAGAAAAATTTCGGTTCTGTAATTTAGAATATATGGAAAAAGAAAGAAGATCTGATTGTGGACTTTCACGAGCGTCACCAAAGAAAGAGTAGATGTCATTGGTTGCATTGCTCGTCTGTGAACTTATTAAATTGATTTGGTACCACTTACTCTGATTAAAAAGTCAGATTGACTATCATTTGAGGATAAATTGAAGAAGAATGATGGCAAAGAGCCACAGGTATTTCGTTTATCTTCGATATCACTACTATCCACACGACAGAAAGAGACTGTTCCTGAAGTGTTAGAGGCAACTTCCAAAGCGGAACCTCCTGAAATAAGAACTTCATGCAGTGCTGTTGCCAAGGCTTCGTTCAAGTATTCAGAAGTTGCCATCATTGTCTTCGCCTATAGCAAACGTGATTTAGGAAATATTTACTTACAGATTCTCGTTGATCATCCTTAATACTCTTGAATATTAAAGTGCCTCCAGTTAAAATTGCTGCCAATAGAACAAATAAAGGAAATTAGGCCTGGAATGAATCGACCTCTAATCTCGTCCAATGGAATCTTTACTCGCTCCAACACTATCACAAAAGTAGTATATTGCATTCTTTGCATTAGTGGAATTTCTATACTTAGATTGCATTAGAGATAAGGTACGCAAGTTAAATGAATGCATAAATGTCTGAACGGAGGGAACAGAAACATGAAGGAACCGCGAGTATTCAAAGATTTTTTGATCCTCTGGCCACCCGTTTGATTTCCTTTGTAGTATCAAAATTCTGTTAGGTATTCAGACTGGCTGGCGGTATCGTAAGCGCAGATCTCTTAGGTGACTACATCATGCGAACATAAAGAAGTGACTCTGGAGAGAATTCATGCATCCATTTGTAACAAAATCGATATTTTTTCAGGGATGTAGTTTGCGTATTCAAAGCACCCTAAGCATTGATTGATATTCATGCAAAAAGTAGCATTTTTTCATGAATGTCATCCTCATTTGCAATGCAATTGTTTTCCTCCAGTTCATAAGTAATCATTCCGATTCCTTCGTTTTGGAAATTTTTTTTCTTGTGCATCGCAAACAATACTTCTATTTTCTATCTCTCTTTAATGAGTAAGCAAAGAAATCTATCTGAAGGAGTACTAATGAGAATTGGATCACTTGAAGCTATTGGCAAATGGAACTTACGTTCGCTGTCTATATCCGTGTCATAGTCAAGAGTCTTCAAATCGCGGTTCTTTAGGCTTGGAAGAGGATCTTTATACTGCAGACTCATTCCCTATCCAAGAATAATGAAAATACAGTTAAAAGGCTGTCATTTTAATTGTTTCGAAGTGGAGAAAAGCTGCGTTTTACCTGCATGAGAAGTAATTGAAATTGCATCAGTCTTTGACTAAGTAGGAACATATCTTCACGAGACGATAGTGATAATATCTGCTTCAAAGTGGGAGTTAAACTTTTCAACTTCGTAAACAGTCGATTCACTGTGTAATATGGCATATCTTTAGAGGTATTTGCAAGTGCTTCCAAGGCTGAGGTAAGTGGTAAGAGAGATTCATTCTGTGCAAGCGAGATGCCCTCTATGGCCTCAACCAACTTGCCTGTTAACTAGAAAGTGAAATATTAAGATAGATAACTATATTGTTTCAATGCATGTGAGTTTGAAAGTACCAACAGTCAAAATTTTCGACCAAAATCACACCTTAACTTTCATTGTGATTTCTCTTAATGGTTAAACTTACTTATGAAAACAAAGGTTTGAAAGGCACCTTTCTGTCTATATTGTCTCTGATTTGAGAAAACGGCTTCCAGCGCCGAATTCCATGTTTCCAGCATCATTGTTCCCATCTAGAACATATTGATACCAGAGCTACAAGTCAGGTGATACCACTACGTTATCTTCCCTTTCAAAATAGAAAATTCTCCGTTCTTTAAACACTCAATCCTCTCCCTGGAGTGTAGGCTTTCCTACTTTCATGCTACTCATTTTGACTAAACTTTTGCGGAACCATTCGTGCTTCCTACCTGGTTACCCTATTACCTCCATTCGCGCTAAGAGTAGGATTTCGCCAACTGCGTACATCAAGTTGCCAATCTGTGCAAAATTACCTTTAATAAACTGGCGGTGAGTTTCAATGCGGTGGTTACTTCAAATTTGGGTGAATAAACTTTAGCATTCTTTAATTTAATGAGCCTTGGTGGCAGACCAGACAATAGATTCCTGGACGATGCATCAGACAGACAGCCAAATACTTGAATCCTACATTGTAGCTAAATAACTGTAGCTGCAAGAAAGCTTTATTCGAATGAAAATAGTTCCTCTCAACGCTATCGCCTTTATTTTAAATGCGTTTGCACTGCGAAGTGCATAGAGAGAGAAAGCTTATTTTGATAAATGGAACCACGAACAAATTTTCCGTTGTGGGTAAGAAAAACCAAACACAATGTTACTTCAACTTTAAACCATTTGAACACCATTTGTTAGTAATTTTATCAATTTGCTATTACGTAATAAAAATGCTTGAAATAGTGCCAAGTTATTGGAACTTTGTTATTTCGTAAAAGCTTGTTTCTAAGGGTGAGTTCGCGGTGTTATAGACAAAGTTTTGGCTCAGTTTGATGTAGAATCTGACAATACTAAGCACATAACATTTTATTTCATAATTTAGTAGTGCAAAATTTGAAAAAAATACTTCAGACAATATCTTGTGTTTAGTTTTATCAAATGGGCATTTACAAATAAGGCATTTGATCTATTAAAATGTAGCAATTATTGGCTACCCAGCCAGACAGCCATTTGTCTCATGATTAGATCCCATATAAGTTAATTCATTTTAACACAAATATTAGTCGATTTCCTCTTATTTGAATCGGAATAGTTGTAGTCTCATTTAAAGGGTATGTGAGAAGATATCGTAAAACACACAGATTACTTTGAACAAAAGAGGACATTTTTGTTCCTCACGAAGTGACTCGATCCGCAATTGATATACTTGACGACTTAAATAATGCGAATAATTCGTAATTCCGATTTTAGTATTTCATTTTATGTTAAGCTCAATTACAATAGGTCACTGGGTAATATGGCATATCCTTGGAGGTATTTGCAAGTGCTTCCATTGCTGAGGTTAATAGTAAGAGTGATACATTCTGTGCAAGCAAGATGACTTCTATGGCCTCAACCAACTTGCCTGTTAGCTATAAAGGGAAAGATTATTATGCCTAACTATACTGATTTAACGAAAGGAAGTTTGAGAGTGCCAGAAATCGAATTCTTCGCAGAAAGTTCATTGTGATCCAGAAAACGAGACAATGACTTAAGCTTTGTGGTTTCATTCGTTTCATCTGGCTTCATTTCAATTCGCGTTAATGGTACAATTTTGAATACCGTTTTCACAACTGAGTCATTTATGCTACTTTTGCCGATCGTGAAGTGGCTCAAGCACTTTTTGAAGTAGATTCCTACTTGAATGATGCGAATGATTTATTTGCATTTCCTTCAATATTAAGCTGTTTTATAAAAATGACTTGTTAAGTTTACTGCTTTGACATTGTAAGTGACAAGTGGAAAGAAAGCGAAATATAAAGGTCAATTACAGGACCGAGAAACTCACAGCTCCAACTTTGTTACGTTTGGCGTCAACATCGCTTTGTCCTACTGAAGAGATAATAAAACAGAACACGATGAAAGTGGGAAAAAGTGTGTAGTTTTGCATTATTTGGAGCAATTTACGCTGATTGTGAACTGAGTCCATAAAATTGTTAACCTGGGTCGAAACTACTTGCACAGTCGCAGAAATCAAATTTGGATTCTTTGACAATATCGCCTC